ATACACAGAACAGAGGACTACGGGAAGGAGTAAGATATAGAACTTGCCTTTGGGATTTCTGATTAAAATCTCTACGTCGTCTTCCTAGATTTTCTGGCAACTTCTGATTACTGTCAAGCCTCCTACTGCTCTGGTTGTAACCCACAAGCAGACCCTGTTCCTTTTCCCCTTAGTTTTCCCTTCTCTCTTCACAGTTCTCTCTCTCAATTCTCTGCTACCACTCTTTTCTAATAAGGTTGCCTGAATAGGGTTTTTATGAACCCTAAGGCAGGCAACACTATGTATATATATAGGTTTATAAAAACCTTAATTCCAATTATAATAGGAGATGGGAAAGAAAAAGAAAAGAAAATCTAATATAAAATAAATATATGTATATAAGTCATAATACTCCCATATAGTAATACTAATACTATCTTGTAATATTACGTATTTACATACATATGTAACCATTTATAAATAGAATATAATTATATATATTGGCATATAAATATATATATAACTGAATCATCCTTATAATTATTAATTCATTATTAATTAGAATAAGAATAATAATAACCTCCAGTACCCATGGGTCATAATCCTTACCTATGTAGGTCCATCCAAGTAGTCCATGTGACCCATTTATTTGGTCCACTACTACTATCCAAATCCAACTCCTTTTTAAAATTAAAATTAAAATTAAAATAAAACAATGAATCATTTAAAACCAACAAATAATTTACAAGAAATGTCACACAATTAAACAAGCAACTTTACACTATCAATCAAAATAAAACACACAATTAAATCACATATTGCAAATAAACAATTAAGCAATTAAACTCAAATCAACTTATAGCCACATAAGCACATAGCCACATATCCATTAAAAATGTACAATAAATAAAAATTAAATTTCAATTATATCCTTTTAAAAACTAGGGGTATTACATTCCTCCCCCCTAACAAAAGGAATTCCGTCCTCGGAATTCACGAAACTCTGAATTCTTTTCTTTAAAATTCATTTCCGTTCCATTGTGGACGCTGCCTCTATGTATGGGCACCACTGAATCCCAACTCCTCATAGAAAATTTATGGTTCCTATATTTAATAAACACAAAAAAAATATACAACCCTTGGGTTGTATTTAACAACACTTCATCCTTACGTAAAATTTATACCCGGGTACAAATCCATATTCCTCCAAGTTCCATAGCATAGATGCGCAAAACCTCTATGCACCCAACGCTAACGTTTTAATAACACTAATCTATAGGCTACCACCTCGGTGGATAAACACAATTCTCGAAAAGTCAATGCAATAAGGAAAAATTAACCTCCCTCCAAAAACCACCATGCTTCCTACATAGAAGACATCATGAGAAAACTACTTCCTGATAGAAAAACTCTAATATACGAGTTCGACTATTTACAAAATCCTACTGCCGCCTCTAAACCGTGTGCACACCATTACAAAGGAGAGTATTGCTCTCCGACGTATCATTAAATGAAGTCAAGGTCTCATTGTACAACCATTGCTTCCATTTCAGACCAATAGGTGAAAGGTCTGCACTATGTAATTTACAAAACCTCAAATGTTGTCACACTAACCTCCTTGTGCCAACAAGATGACAAACAAAAATCTGAAAAGTGAAGTAAACACTTCCAATTATCCATGAAAACCTAGGATATATATCCCAAGCATATCCTCCAGGACCAAATATAATTTCTCGATCAAATTCCCCCCATCTAGAGATATGAAGCAAAGTTGCTGCTCCAATATCTTAAGAAAATTCCTTCGAAATAGCATTTCCCATCCATTGTAATGGACATCCTCATGTTAAAGCACCATTATTAGTGCAATGTAGAATTGATATGAAGCTCTAAAGTGAACTTGAATTAATGTACACAAGCGAATTTACTCAATCCACCACTCTTAATCTATATGGAATTAAAATTCCAATAAATGTCGATATAATTCAACCAACCATCCACTCCTAATTAATCGTACTCCCATTTTGATATAGGAAGTGGCAAAAATTGCCAATGATATCCGATTATCAATTTTCCACCTTTCTAACAAGTGTTACACTTAGAAACAATTATGTACATGTCCCTATCTGTACCGGCTCACCAAAACTAACATTAGATGTCTTGATGTAACTTATAACCATTTAAGTGCACCATAAAATTTTGAATTTTACATCTCAGTCACTCCGACCTCCCTAACATCATTTATCCAATCTACTAATCCTCCTTTAGTACCCTAAGCTCTACTGAGTAAGGTATGACCTCCTCCAGGATCAACTCCAATATTCTAAGTTGACCTTTTTAATACCTATAGTAATAGCAAGTGTTATTATCACATGCTAAAAATTCAACTGATTTCTCAATAACTACCCAAATGTTTAATTACCATATCGGTTGTTAAGAGCATCCACTTCCCTATTACTTCCACCAGACGAAACTTAATGCCAAGTGTGAATCACCACTTCTATCCATCTAAGCCGTCTCGTGATCCGTTCTATTCGTAAAAACTGATATCTTACCAGTTCAAAATAAACAAAATAAAGCTGATTTAATTTATCAGTCAACCAATATCCTAACCTGAATCCTAACCTTTGTGTAAAAATCAGCAATCCCTCAACTAAATTCGTGAAAAATACTCTATCAATTCCACTTCAGTATAGGAAATGGCTGCAAGGATCTAGTAACCTCGGATGGTCCATCTTGATTATCTAATAAATATTAGAATTGGAGACAAAATCACTATGTCCCTCCTCCTGCCTGTCCTCCAAACATTTGCTTCATAGCATGAAGTATCATGTTTCTACTTGGATAAATACAGAACTAAGAGTTGTGACCCGAGTCATTACATCCTCCTTCCAATTTATCCACAGGAAGTACCGTTAGTTTAGTACCACCAGCTTTCGTCTGCACCCATTGTTTAAATCGGAGCATCTTCAAAAGCTAACTCTGCAACTGAATCCATGCACCACTAATCTGTGATAAACTTACTGATAAAGAAAATCAAAAGTCAACCAGCTAAAACTTTTCCGCATACACCGTGCACCTCTTCTTGTTATATAGGTGATCGATCTCACCATCTTGTCTTTGACACACCCAGTTTCTGTAACGCAAGTAAATTTCAATCAGACTCCTTATTTAACTTCCAAAAGAATATGGACTCTTTCCATCCTTCAAATAAGTCATCAATTTCCTAGCAACATCTGATTGTTGGGAACTGTGACCCAAAAAAAAAAAAAAAATTCTCTATATTATTTATGCAAGTGAAAAGACTTAGTTTCCTCCTCCATGTGCAACACTGGCAACTTCTACTAATGACACGCCTTGGTGAATAAAATCTTGATTAAGGATAGACAGATGAAAATTTATTCAGTCTATTATCCTCAATCGGTGTCATTCCAATAAGTATCTAAACCAGTACTACATCCTCCTTCCGTCTTGGGAATAACTTTTGAAATTTTTCAAAGAAGACGTTTTGCAAATCGTACACCTCCAATAAACTATTGTAGTGATACAGTGGTTTTTATTTACCACAACCTCACGAACACCGAATTATTAACAACCACCATTATCATGGCGTTGTCATAAAATATGGATCCATACCTAGTGTAAAGTATATCAAACTAATCGTTCTTGATTATTTGAGTCGTATTGATGGTTTAACTATGCCATCCTAAATAACATACCATAATGACACATGTCCAGGTCCAATAGATTAGCTCGATTTATGTATATCTACCAAATCCTATTACCACATGCTCACAATCCTAGCGTAATGTAGTGCTATTATTCTATGTCATAAGAGCAGTAGTTGGTTGATCACATACTTGTGTCCCTAACTAGACCACATGTCAAATCCTGAATAATTAACGAAAATAAAACACGTATGACATACACAAAAACAAAATAAAATCCTACTTAAAACATCATTCCTTCTAAAAAAGAAAGTCTCCTCTAAAATCAACTTGAAAAATTGTTTCACAAAATTTCCTTTTTATAGTTTCGTAAGTAATCATCTAACCTCGAAACATATCCTTTAAACATAGCTTAAAAGCAACAATTATTTGCCTAAGCAAATACCAAGGGCTTAACCCTTATCCTCCTTATATGCGGAATGCAATCTATCTAACGTGGCTTTATAAAGCAACTTAGAAAGTTACAACATAATACCAATGTTTTCCTGAATGTGATATAAAATCATGTATTTCGCTCTGAGAAGAACTCCATCCAATCCCTCAACTCCTGAAAAGTACTTCTTATATATCTCTTTTAGAAATGATAAGAAAGTTTAACTATATGTAGATTGATTAACACCCATTTAACTAATATCATTTGCTATATCACTAACAAATAAGATCACCCTCGCACGATCCTTCACCTTCAAGATTTAGTACCCTCTTTCTTGGATACGTTGAAATCTCTTTCATTAGGATCCTCTTTGGACTCCTACTCCTCGCTTGTCTCCTTTTTTAGATCAATTGAAGTCGTATTAGCCCCGATATGACCTGTCACGTACACCTAAATCCTTCCTTAGTTTATACTTTTAAAAGTAGCGTCAACTGGAACTAAACCTTTGATTCCTAGTTCTGCCTTGTGGCAAAGAAATCGATAATGTACTCCTTTACTCCTTTGGGTCTTTACTGCTTTCGCCTTAGACCTCATCCTCCTCCTAGTGTCAACCATTCTATAATTACAGAATATAATTGACACCAGCTTCTCCTAACAAACCGTAAATAGAGTACAACAAATCCTAATATGGGCTCTAAGTTTTAAGAGATGCAACACGGAAGTCATATAACGAAAGACACTCCTAAGGACACTTGAACCTAAACTGCTCTGATACCAACTGTGATACCCCCGAATTTTCGGATGCGGTTTGGTAAGGCCCATGCCCGAATACCCGAGAATATCAAAACAAATGGCAATAATCGAATACAGAATACAAGAAATGAAAATAAGAATAACTAAATGCTGATCAGAAACTAAAATGATAAATAAAACCTCATAATAAAATTTCATTAATAAATTCTTCTGATACAAGTAATCCTCCAATTTATACAACTCGGGAATCCATAATATGTGGACCCCTTGGAAAACTAATACTGAACAATTAACGGTCTACAACTAGATACATAAATCACAAAGGGAACTCCTATGTAGACAATCCGGAAGAATGAAGTAGACGATCCCTGCTCAGCTTGAACAATCCCTACTCCTAATGAATACCTGAAAAATAATAGTGAGTCAGGCCCACAAACAAGTTCTACTCTACTACAGTCTAAGCAGAGACCCGAGACGCAGGTACATCCTAGATAACTCAATAATAGCTAAATAGTCCATATATGTATAAATACACACTATAAGACGCTCACTAGTCCATAGGTCTGTCTCAGCCTGAATAGAAGGTAACATGCAAATCGCAAATAAAGTGGGCATGTATACCTAGACCTACCAGGGGACCAAATGTCTACTATGTCCAGTTATCCATCCTAGCAGATGTACGCACCCTAACCATGATCCTGAGACTCAAACTCATATCATGGTACCATAATCATATACATATATCCATCCAAAACCAAGATATGTCATTCAATTGTTTATGGACTTGACATAGATATAAGTAGGGTTTAACCTTATAACTAATCCATTCCCTTATTCCAGAGTAGGTAGGATTTAGTATTTTGAACTAATCCATCCCTAGTATGCCACCGTCCCATACCGATGTATACAATCCACAAAATTCATATAGTTGACAAAACAGAAATAAATAGTTCATCAATCATAGTCCATAGTAAGCATAATAAAAATCTGATATGTATATGATCATATTATGCATCCAGTACAAGATTTAAAAATCATGTCATAGTCCTTTAAATTGCTAAACTAAGATTAAGCAATTAAATCCTCTATATCCATTAACAACATGCTAATTTGTTTAAAATTTCATATTGTTCTAACCATTAGCGTATTATGCATCCAATACAAAATTAAAATCAAATCATAATCACAGTCATTAAATTGCAAAAATAATATTTAAGCAATTAAATTCTCCTCGTCCGATAACAACATGTAACCTTATTTAAAATTTCATATTGTTCTAACTATTAGCATATAGATATAAATTATGCATTATGGAACTTTTAGATATCTTGAAAAATTATTTAGAATCCCTACAATTAATCCCAAATCCATTATGGAACTCCAAAACACCCAAACAGTGCCTAAAATATCACTTGTACGCACTAAAACAACAGAGCCTACTCTAGAAAATGTAGAGCAGGCTCCACTACAAAGGGAGCCGGCTCCCCACACCATAGAGCCGGCTCTACTCATGAGGGAGCCGGCTCCCCATCACATAGAGCCGGCTCTTTGTTTGAGGGAACCGGCTCTCTCCCTCTCTAAGAGCCCTAACCCAATTCCCACCTATTCTACTCTTTCGTCTCCGTCTCCTGCAAGTTTAAACACCTCTGTAACTTTTTATTAGGGTTCCTAGGAGTTCAATCTATGCCTAAATTTATTCCAAAAACACTTTAAACACAGTATGCATCATAAATAACAATTTAGAGTACATAGAACGAAACAATTTATGAGATATTTTAATTTCAATAAATATCAGATAATACAGTTAAAACTCTGAATTAATATGCATACAAGTTTAGTTTTAAAGTTTGATTTAATCCTAGAGATTATATAGGCATGCACAGAACACAGGTCTACAAGATGGACTAAGATATAGAACTTGCCTATGGGATTTCTGATTAAAATCTCCATATCGTCTTCCTAGATTTTTCGGTGAATTCTGATTACCGTCAAGCCTCCTACTGCTCTGGTTCTAACCCACAAGCAGACCCCGTTCCTTTTCCCCTTAGTTCTCCCTTCTCTCCTCACAGTCCTCTCTCTCAATTCTCTACTACCACTCTCTTCTATAAGGTGGCGTGAATAGGGTTTTTATGAATCCTAAGGCAAACAACACTATGTATATATATATGTTTATAAAAACCCTAATTCCAATTATAAGAGGAGACGAAAAAGAAAAAGAAAAGAAAATCTAATATAAAATAAATATATGTATATAAGTCATAATACTACTATATGGTACTACTAATACTATCCTGTAATATTACGTATTTACATACATATGTATCCATTTATAAATATAATATAATAATATATATAGGTATATAAATATATATATATAACTGAATCCTCCTTATCTTTATTAATTCATTATTAATTAGAATAAGAATAATAATAACCTCCAATACCCATGGGTCATAATCCTTACCCATGTAGGTCCATCCAAGTAGTCCATGTGACCCATTTATTTGGTCCACTACTACTATCCAAATCCAACTCCTTTAAATTAAAATTAAAATTAAAATAAAAAAAATGAATTATTTAAAACCAACAAATAATTTACAAGAAATGTCACACAGTTAAACAAGCAACTTTACACTATCAATAAAATAATACACACATAATTAACTCACGTATTGCAAATAAACAATTAAGCAATTAAACTCAAATAAACTCATAGCCACATAAGCACATAGCCACATATCCATTAAAAATTTACAATAAATAAAAATTAAATTCCAATTATATCCTTTTAAAAACTAGGGGTATTACAGGATCATGCTTACAACAATTCAAAATTTTAAAGTATTTTTCAAAGTAACAAATTTCCATTTCATTTCAAATTTAAAATCAACATACAACTTTGACATTTTCGCATTCAAACTTTGCACTTTAAATCAACAAACAACTTTTCAAATCCATGACACGTCCAAAGATCAAGAGTTTCACATTCCATATCAAATTGGATTTTCAAAACCATTTTTTTCAAAAACTTGAAATTTTCTTTCTTTTCAATTCAAATCAAATCCTTTAACTTCCAATTTCAATTTCTAATTTCCAATTCAAGTCTTCGAAAATAAACCACATGCCAATTAAAATTTAAAACCAAGGTTCAATTTTAATTTTTCAAAAATCCGGCATGGGTTCCCCTTAAAAATGGACATTCCCAAAAATTTTCAAAGGCACACCAAATATGCATTTTAACATTCAATCAACAATTCAAGTAGCATATGGAATTTAAATCAAATTCATTCAACAATTCAAGAAGGAAGACCGCCCACAACATCAATCCACAATTCAACAATTGTCCGTTCTCCTTCTAACTACTACAAACTCCGTTCTCTAATTTTTCAAATTTTTTCCCATCACCATTCAACCAAAATAAAAGTTTGCAATAGTCAGAATCCAAGGTCATTGTTCCATTGGTTTTTTTTTTTTTACCATTTTTCATTATTTCAATTTTTTTTTTTTTTTTCATTTTTCAATCTCAATAAACCATTTTCAATTTTTTGCAACAATTATATACAAATATAAATTAAACACAAAATAAAAACTTAAAATGGAAAAGTAAATGCAATAAAATAACATAAAACTAAAATCAAAATAAAAATAAAAATGAAAAATAAAATAAAAATAAATTTCTATATACCCGAACCAAGAGAGGGAAGAAAAGATTGAAACGAAGAAGTTCGGAGCGAAATGGAGGATTTCTGGCCTTACCGTAGCCCGAGGGGGTGACCAGAAGCTCGTTGGGGGTGACCGAAAATTACAGAGGTCACCAGAGTTGGAGATGAAACTATCTCTGGCCTAAATCGGCCAGAGACGATGAATAAGAGGTTACCCGGAAGGGATTCAAGAAATAGAGATGCCAGTTTGGCCCTTGGGCCAAAAATCCTTCACCGGAAAGAATAGAGGTTGGATGACGGCGGCGAGATGTGGTGGGGTTTGCCGGCATTGGAGATAAGGAGAAGGTTAGGGTTGGTCTCGGTTCGTCTTGCCGGAGGAAGAGATTGAGAGGGAAGATTGAGAGAGAAGAGATAGGAAAATCAAGGAGAGAGAAAGCCGAACGTAAGAGGGAGAGGAAGAGGTAGAGAGAGAAAGAAAAGAAAAGAAAATAAGAAGAAAAACAAAATAAGGGAGGAGAGAGAAAAAAAACATTAAAAAAAAAAAAAAAATAAGGTTGGGGTAGGAAGGCCAATGGCCAAAGCATTTTCTGGAAGTTCAAAAGACGTAATTTCGATTGATCGAAGCTGTCTTCGATCGATCAATCACTTACTTCGATCGATCCAAATGGATTTTGATTGATTGAGAGGAGCTTCGATCGATCAAAATGGAAGATGAAAAGCCATAAATTCACAGGGTTCGATCGTTTGAAGTTCAAAGTTCAATCGAACTTGACTTCGATCGATCGAAACTTTACTGGAAGTGTAGGAATTGCAAGAAACTGCTCGAAAATTGGATTTTTCAATTCAACTCATATCTAAACGATGCTAGAAAATATCAAAACAAGAAATGAGGGAGGAATAAGGTTACAAACCCTACGAAGCACTAGTCTTTAACGTCTCTAGCAAGACATTGGGCTCTTTTACCCCAGATCAAAGATCTTGGTAGACATCCCCTTCTCGGTAGGGTGAATGGAACTTCTAACCCCACCCAACAAACTATTCTCTAAGGAACTTGTTGGATTTGGTTCAAGTGAAATTGATGGCCTTTGGTCAACAAAACTTTTGGGCTTTGGTAAGACCAAGCGTGTGCATAAAATAATACAAAACACTTTAGGTTTAGAAATAATGTCAAGTGGGCACCATATTTTAAAATTTATAAAACCACTAAACACTTATACTATGGAGTATGAAGTGAGCAGGGATCGTCCCAAGAGATCTAAATAATTATAAGTTTTTAGAATTGAATTTTACTTCAGTGCTTATGTGATTGCTAAAAAGGGTTTTGTTTGTGATTAAAACTAATTTTAAACTAAATGATGCAAATAAATAGTAGAGTTTAAAAGATTGGGAAGAGACTTAGGGTGTAGGATTCACCACTAAGCACATTCCCTAACTCACTCACTTTCAATTAATTGGGGAAATAATAATGTGTAATCTAAATGTGGCTAACAACTGCAATGAAAAGTGTAAACCATCAATTTCACGCATGAATCAACTACTTAACAACAATTAAATTAAGTGTAGTGCAATTCACCAATTCGAAGTATGATTTATCAATTCAAATTGCAATATCAACACACATTTATCTAGAGGATAATACAATTGTGACAATAAGTATGGATTTCAAACACAAGCATGGATTGTCTACTTGCCTATGAATGAAAGTGCAATTAAACTAATTAAGCCTGAAATTAACTAAATTCAACAAGAATTTAACCTAATTAAATTAACTGTGCAGTACAATCCATCTAGTAGAAGCAAATTCCATCAAATCAAAACATAATTACATCTAATTAAAACAATATATAGCCATCACAAGATTCAATTCACAAAGAAATCAAGTGTAGAGATTAATTATCAATCAAAAACATATAAGACAATATGAAGTTGACATAGATAATCAAATGAAAGTATTAATTTATATTTTAAGACTATAAAAAAATTACACAAATAAATCCCCAAAAAGTGAAAAGAGAGAAAGTTTAGGTTACATGCTTAGGGTTTATCTAACCCTAAGTAGAAGAATCAGCCACTCATGATTGACGGAGTCGAAGACAGGACAATCCCTATCATCTGTTTCATTTTCTCTGAACTTTTCTTCCAAACCCTAGCCCGTTCTTCGTTTCTCTTCTTTCGCGTGTTTCCAGAGAGAATATCGATATCGATATCACAATACAGAAAAATAATACCTAATCAAAAAAATAATATTCTCTAAAACTAATAAAAAACTAACCCTAAAAATAATGGGCTTGTTTCCCTTAAGTAATAAACTCTATTAAAGCCCATAAGTTACAAAAAAAATAAGCCCAAAAGACAAAATCCCGTAATGCTGCCAGGGGCTGGGGGATAAATCCCCCAGCCTTGGGGATCGATCCCCCAAGGGCATTTTTAGTTCTGTGAATAGTAGGGGATCAATCCCCCACTATCCCCCAGAGTTGGAAATTTCCTTTAAGCCTTATTTAGCTCTATTTTGGCCTCGGGCTAATTGGTTTGCTTCTTCATCTTTGGGAACATCATCAAAGGCCCGAGATTGACCGCTTTTGAGGAATAAACACACTATACGAGTAATGGGCTGCGACCTCTTTTTGCCATTTTCTGAACTTTTTCTGAATGTCTTTGCTTGATTCCAAAAAGGCTTTAATGAACCAAAATTAGTCCGTTTGAACCTTATTGACCTGAAATTGACAAAAATATAAATTAGAACTTAAACATGAAAATAAGATAGATGCAAGGACTAAAATACCCTAATTTAGGTACTGAAATGTGCAACATTTAAGCACTTATCACGCCCCCAAACTTTGATATTGCTAATCCCTAGCAATGAACTACAATATGAAAATAAAACAAATATATATACAACAATGAACTAATAAAGCAAATAAAGATAACACCACTTTCGTAGGGATCACGGTTGCATTTAGCATATGCAATAAGCCTTTTAAACCCCTAGGTTACCCCTAGTGGATGAGTGAAGTCTCGTGAGGGTTTCCAGAAATGGTACCCACAAACATCAACAGCTCTTTCTTACTTGAAAAATAACGACACATATCAAACAAGTGTTGAAAGTAGACTACTTCAAGTATGCAAATTTCTACCATTTCTAAGCTATTCTCAACATTTCAACATCATGTAAGCAAAAATGGTCCTCCACACATCAAGCGATTAATCATGCAAATTGAATCAATTCTATCATCCTTTTTGAGTGAACCGGCATCAAAATGTATTGTTATCCTAGCAAATCAAAGTAATGGCATAGCCTTACCCTCAAACTAGCATACAGATATAGTACCAATCCTCAAGACATTGAATGAACCTTGTCATTCAATCAAACAATTTTTTTTTTTTTTTTTTTACTTTTTTATTTTTTTATTGATTTCATTTTTTATTTTTTATTTTATTATGTATGATCATGTGTAATGTCCAAGTTCCTTAAGCTCTTTAATCACCCCATGTAACAAGCGTTGAGCCAACGACTCCCAAACCAGATAGTGTTAGGGCGTTAAGTGTAAAGACACTCCTAAGGGCGTAATGGCTAGGTTACGAACTTAAACTAATCATACATCTTACATTCTTTCCTTGTCTTCCTTTTTAATCAGTTGACATGTTGAAAGAATGCAATTTTTTTTTTCTTTTTTTTTCACTTTTGGTGAGTCTTTTTATTTCTTTTCTTTGCAAGGTCATTTTATCAAGAATGAAAGCTTTCAAACCATACTAGCTCAATTGGGATAAATCAAGACAATAATCAACTAAGCATGTACCCCACAAATTGAATGCTAGTGTGCGCAGGTGCAAGTATAGAATCAACTCTCAAAGGATTTTCAACCAACAAGATGATGTGTACCACAAGAGCAAATATGATATCAAAAATTAAAAATTTACCCCTAAATGGCATCCTAGTGCATACAAGAAGTATTAGACTCTAACAACTTGTTTTTCAAAAGCACTATGCTTCAAAAGTTCGAAATCATTGCCAAACACATCTCAAATCTCATCATGCATTTAAAGCTCAACTTAAAATAGAGTGAATCATAATGACCTTACCCCCAAACTTAAACTGTACATTGTCCTCAATGTGCAATGAGAACAATGAAAAATGATGGAAAAAGTATACCGTGATGGCAAAGACTATGAAGCCTGGTAATGATCCAGTAGGAAAGATGGCTCCCCCAAACTTGGATGCAAAAACCTAGTTGTAAAACCATATTAGCAAACTCACATCAAATATCACATGGAATACGTAATGCATATAGTCTAACAATATGACACGATGCAAAGAGATATGAGATAAAACCCTGTATAAAAGGTTAAAACATGCATAACCAAGCATAAGGGCATACTGGTAACATATATTTTTTATTTTTTTTTTTATTTTTGTTATTTTTTTATTTTTGTTTTTTGTTTTTGTTTTTATATATATATATATATATATATATATATATTTTGTGTGTGTTTTTGTTGTTTTATTTATTTATTTATTTATTTTTAAGAAATAAAGAAAAAGAATATGTATATATAACTACAAAATAAAAAATGGGCCAAGTTTAACGTTTCTAGTAAGACGAAATGCTACTTGAAAAATTTTTTTATTTAAAATTTTTATAAAATATATATATGTTTTTTTTGTTATTTATGTAAAATAAAGTAAAGAAAATAAAATAAAATAAATAAAATGTAAACAACCATAAATATAGAAAGTATTCATAAAACACATGAATATGAGCAACAGAAAAAACACGAGTCATTTCTTAAGAGTGAGTCATTTCTTAAGAGTGAAATAGATGGGAATTAGTTCATATTTTGTAATAAACAGTTTTGAAACAGACAACACCCATTTGGTAACTTAAGAGTGAAATAGATGGGAATTAGTTCATGTTTTGTAATAAACAGTTTTGAAACAGACAACACCCATTTGGTAACGAACTGCAAATTCAACCAAATTCAACAATCCAAACTTCCCCAATCACCAATTCAACTTTAAATAATTAACCAAATCAAACACCAATGCACAATCCAAATTCAACAACAACTACAACCCAATATCCAATTCGGCCACTGTGACACTTTCTTTTATTTTTATTTTTATTTTTTATTTTTTTTACTCTTTTTTAAAATCATCAATGTAACATTTTTTTTCTTTTTTAATCATCAAGTCAACTCCAAGACAAATCCCCACTATTACAACCAAAAATTTAGCAACTCAATTCAGATCATTGCATCATAAACCCACAAAATGCACAACCACATACCAAAGAAGAAAACTGATCTCGAAGTTGTGCTATTTCCACATTCATTTACCATGGCACATTGAAGGTAAAAAAAAAAAAAAAAAAAAACAACTTAAAGCCAAGCCATTGAACCAGCCATAACAACTCGAAGTTAAAGCATGAATATCTAGTCTTTAACACAACTAAAAAATCCATGATGAATAAGAGAGCAGAAAACCCAAGTAATTCCTAGTCTGATGCGATTCTTGTGCGTGACCCATCAAGTATCTCATATAGAGAACGACCCAGCCGGAATCGGAGAAGAACGAGCCGGAAAAATAAAGGGCGAAGCACACCCAGCCGGAATCGGAGAGGAAACCAGCCGGAATCGCTGAAGAAATCGGCGATTCAGAAGCTCGCCGGAAGAACCCAGTCAAAAATCGCCGGCGAGACCCAGCTGAAATTCGCCGGAGAACACCAGC